GAGATGTTATCTCATAGTTGTTTTGATTTGCATCTCTCTTAGAGCTAGGAATTTTGCACATTTCTTCATGTATTTGTTTGCCATCTGAATGTCTTCTTTGGTGAAGTGTCTATTCCTATCCTGTGCCCATTTTGTACTTGGGTCGTTTACCTTTTTCTTGTTAAGGTGCTAGAGTATTCTATAGCTTTAAGATATTAGTCCCTTATCAGAGATGACATTATGAAATATTTCCCCCAGTCTGTGGATTTCCTTTTTATCCTTTTTGAGAAGTGACTTTTTTTTTAAAAAAAAGTATGCATAGGAATTTAATTCTCAGAATGTCCCATTCATCTATTTTATTCAATCCTGGTTTTAGGATATTTTTACTTTTGCTATTAATTCTTTCTGAAATATCCTTCTGCCTGTTAATATCTACTCACTCAAGTCTCACTGCATATATATAATTTCTGTCACTACTTTCTTTTTTAAATATTTATTTATTTAGTTTTGGATTTCTATTCATTCATTGTTGCACATTTTCCTCCCTGCCCCTCACCTCCCCCAGTTTGCTTTTTCTTTTTTTTTTTTTTTGTAAAAAAAGTCTTTCATTGTTATACAGTACCCCCCCACCCCAGACCACCTTACTATGCAACTCTTATTCTGGACTCTTATCATGCCAATAATATCTAATTATATATTCCTTTTATACAGTTCTCTCCCTCATCTGTTTCAATGCCATGTACATTATTTATCCCCTCTTTTCTTAGTTTCCCCCAACTTCCATGTCAGTCCTGTTCTATAACAGTGCCATTATGTAGCATTTGTCTTTTTGTGATTAAGATCTTTCACTCAGCATAATGTCCTCCATGGTCACCCATTTTGTATAATATTTCATGAGTTCTTTGTTTTTCAGTGCTGCATGATATTCCATTGTGTGAATGTACCACAGTTTCTTATCCATTCATTTGTTGATGGGCACTTGGGTTGTTTCCAGCTCTTTGCTATTGTGAACAAAGCAGCAACAAACATAAGCATATATCTACTTGGGTAGCAGTTCTGGTTTCTTTAGGATATATTCCCAGTAGTGGAATTGCTGGGTCTGTTAGTACCTTTTTAATACCTCCTGGGTATAATTACCTTGTGTTATAAGTTTCATCACACTATCTTTATACATCTGTTGTTACATGTTACACTGTGTCATATTTAATTATTTATTAGTATTTCTCCTCTTCCTGTGATGATACATTTAAGATCAAAGACTACATCTCACCTTTTAAAAACTGTTATCTTACAGAGTGCTTTGAACTTCTCTGTTTCATTGCCTTGAAGTTGTAAATGACTCATAGCTGACCTGCTAGCAGGTTTTCAGAGGTTGTAAATCCTAAGAGAGGGAGTTGTCCCTCTTTTTTCTGTGGAGCAGCTTGTGGATACGAACTGCCTGGCTTTGGTTTGGCAGTGCAGCTCCTTAAAACCGAGGCCACCAGAGCTCCCTATTTTGAACATAGAAGAGCTCTGGTAGCCTAGTGGTAAGAAACTGCACTGCCATCCTAAAGGCATGTGGTTTGAATCCATCAGCTGCTCCACAGGTGAAGTCGGGATATGTGACGAACTACTTCTAAAAACCTGCTGAAGGTTCAGCTATGGGTCAGTTATGATGGTATACAGCAAAAACATTACTGGGTAGTATAATTAAGTTGAGCAGTCATAAGCCTGTAAAGATGGCCTGGAACCGATTTCTTTGTCCTTTTGAACTGAAAAGACCCACATAAAATCTCTGGTATTTCTTGAAACTAGCAAGGAACATGCTGAGAAATTAATGGATAGATTGCATTTCTTGGTTTCTAGACTCCACAGAACAGCTCTCCATGTTCCTGGGAGAGAATTACTTCCAAGTCTCCCTCCCACTTAACTCCTGCCTCCCCAGGCTCTTTTCAGTATTCTTTTTTTTTTTTTAATTTAGGTTGTTTATTTTTCATTTCAATGAACATCTACAGAGATTTTGGGATTCCATTCATTCATTGTTGCACCCTTCTCCCCGCACAAACCCCTCCCCCCTCCCATTTGCTCCTCTCCTTGAAAAGCAAAAGAAAAACTCCCTCATTGGTACACAATCCCCCCCCGCACCTCCCCAAACCCCACCCTCTACCCCCAAATATAATCCACTCTGCAACCCTCATTGCATACTCCTACGATAAAAATAATTCCCTAAAATATAATACTTTTAGACTATTCTCTCCCCCATAGACTTCAATGCCGTAAACATATTTCATCCAGTTTTTCTCAGTCTTACCCCCACCCCAATGCCAGCCTCATTCTACAACAGTGGCACCATATAGCATTTGTCCCTTTGTGACTGAGATACCTCACTCAGCATAATGTCCTCCAGGGTTACCCATTTTGAATAATATTGCATGAGTTCCTTGTTCTTCAATGCAGCATAGTATTCCATTGTGCGAATATACCACAGCTTCTCTACCCATTCGTTTGTTGATGGGCATTTAGGTTGTTTCCAACTCCTTGCTATTGTAAACAAAGCCGCTATAAACATGGGTATACATATATCTACTACTTTTCAGTATTCTTAAGGCATTCATTAGTTCATTCAACAGGTAGGTATTCAGCTGTTTGTGTGCAAGACACTGCTTTATTTCCTTGCCATCATGGAGTTTCCATTACATATTAGAAGTTCTTTAATAGATAAATATTATTTCTTGGTGTTAGTTTCAGTTTCATCACTTAAAAATCTTTGGCATAGCCAGGAATAGCTTTCTAAGTTTGGCTAACCAATTTCAGATGGTAAGTCTTGCACTAGGCTTTAGTTGACTAATGAAGAAAGAATTTTGGGACAGCAGACCTGTCATATTTCTAAGCCTTATGAGCAGTCATTTTTTTTTCACACTCTTTTTTCTAATTCTATTTTTTCAAGTTTTAAAAAAATGTATTATTAATTTAAATGAAAATTTACAGAGACTTTGGATTTCCATTCATTCATTATTGCACTTTCTCCCCTCCCAAACCTCCCCCCTAGTGCACGACCCTTTTGGAAAAGTAAAATTCTTTCATTGTTTTACAACCCCTTCCCCTAGGTCCACTTGGCTCTGGACTCCTGTCATGACAAAAATACCCAATAATTTTCCCTCTTAAACAGTTTTCTCCCTCATCTGTTTCAATGCAGTATACATTATTGAACCCATCCTTCTCAGTCTCCTTCCAACACTGAGGTCAGTCCGTTTTTGTTAAGAAAGCTAAAATTTCCCCCACAACTCTAATACGTAATGGCAATGAGAATCTGTTAGAGATAGCCCATACCACTTGAGCCCCCAAACCTGCATTTGTAATTTCTTTCTGGTCTTTTTAAATGTCCCACAGATGCAACATGTCCATACAGAATATATTATTGCCCTTCATCCTCTCATATTCATTATCTTCATTCTCTCTTCATTCTTTCCGTATTACCCATCTTTGTGCTCGTCATCAGTTATTTTTGACCACGATATTTTTGACTTGGCTTGCTTTCTCACGCTTCATATGCAGTAAGTTCCAGGGAGTCCTCTTACTTTCTGTTGACTTCATCCCCCCTCTCTTTGTCCTTCTCCTCCAAGTTCCTGCTTTCAGCCCTTATCATCTTGCCTTAATTGCCACAACTTAAATCAGAAGGTTAACACACTTCTGATGATGCCTTTTACCATCTTTTTCCGTAGACTTCTTGCTGAAATGCAAATCTATTATTGTCACTTACTTTTAGTAGTTCCTTATTGTCTTTAATATTAAATGTAAATACTATAAAATGGCCTTTTACAATGTAATTCCTGTTCGTTTCTCCTGTTTCATCTTCACTTTTGCGTCTTATTTCCTCCCAAACTATGTATTTATCTCAAGAAACTGTTTCTTTTTAAGAAGAATTCTTTCTCACTTCCTCCTCTTTGCCTAAGGTCATAGAAAACTTCTCTGATTCCTGGATTTCCTGTACATCTTGGGCGCTCCCACAGCACCTTGAATAGTATTTCTGTAACAGCATTTATCATATTGTGTTAGAATTGTGTTTACTTCTCACAGGATAAGCCTGAATTCCTTGTCGGTCAAGATTGTGTTTATATCTTCAGTGCCAGTAATAGGGTATGGCACACATGAAAGACATTTTTTTGAAAGTTGCCAATGATCAAGTTAACTTTAGATGCAACCATGCAGACCCTTGTATGCCTGTCTGAGTCAACAGGCTTTGTCCTTTAAGCATTTGAATTACTTGTTAATTTCCCTACTCATTGAAATTAGATTCTATAAACTCCTCTATCATGTCTCCTGCTACTGCTATTTTGATAGACTTTCTGTGAACAGAAGTCAAAGGGGATAAAAATAGGTGATAAAAGTTTCCTCTGCAGTACTCGGAAGAAAAAAAAATGTGCTTTGATGACTGTGGATCATTTATTACAGATTTTGTAATAGCATTTGTCATTTATTTTAAAGCTTCATTAGCTTTTGTGTAATGTACTTAATAGGGAGCTCTGGTGTCCTAGTGGTAAGAAGCTGTGTTGTGTCCTAAAGGCACACAGTTCAAATCCACCAGCTGCTTCATGGAAGAAGGATGGGCCATTTCCTCCTATGTGATTAACAGCCTCTGAAAACCCATGGGAGAGTAGGCTATGGATCGGTTCTGACTCTCAAAGGCAATGTATTTTTATAATGTCAGCACAAATATTGGCTGAATTATTAGCCATTTGACTTTGCTTTACAGAATAACATTTTTAATTCTCTAACAAGGCTGGAATGAGTATGGTATTTTGGAGTTGTTGGGGTTTTTTAAAAAAATTTTTATTATTAATTTAAATGAAAATTTACAGACTTTGGATTTCCATTCATTCATTGTTGCACTTTTCTCTCCTCCCAACCCTCCCCCCCACCAAGAGTTGTTGTTTTTTTTAAAACTTTTGGTTGTGGAACGAATGTTTGCGTTTTGTTTTCATCTAAACTTCTGGTCAAGTATTGCAACTGCTAAGTTACATCGTAACTTATTTTGTGTTTAGGTATTCCCAGTTTCAGAAGGAATACAGTTTAGATGACGTGGTGGAATCCCGAAAAATGTTTGGATTCATGACTCTATTACAGTGTTGGTAAGAAAAACATTTTCTTTTAAATTTTTTTACTGTGATTTCTGTAAAGGCTTACAAAACAAGTTGACTTTTGTATAGCCATTTGTATACTTTTTGTTTATAGCATTTCTGTACATTTCCCCCATTTCCTCCCTATAATTGATTTCCATTAATTCTTCTATTTCTCTGTCTTCTCTTTCTTTAGTGATAATTGTGTTCGTCATCCTTTACTGGGTATTATTGCCTTTCCCTTCACCCATCTTAACATGTGCCTATTATCTGTTTTCTAATTTTTGCTCAAGTCTCCCTCCATTCCCATCCTTGGTAACCTTTCAGGAATGTTTCTATCTGTGTGTGTAAGAGTCAAAATTTGTTATATATATCTCTGGTTTGGCTGCTATTTTTAGTCCTTTGTCCTTGCTTTCCTCTAGTTCACTTCCTGAAAGGACCTCAGCAACAAAGAAGTGACTTTAACTCCTCCTGTATGAACCTTACTCCAATCAGAGTATGCCAAGTATTCATGCCCTTGTTAATAAGCCCTCGTATTTTCAAATTAGCCAATCGCTATTCACTGCCTCCATCTTACCTCACAAGTTCCCCAATCCCCTTGTATCTCCCCGCCCCTCACTCAGTCTCTGCCACTCCCAGCACCAATAAAAACCCTTGTCTCAAAGCGCTGGGGGCCTTGGGTGTGTCCCTGCTCAAGAGCTTGTAATAAAATCCCTCATGTTCTTGCATGGATTTCGGCTTCCTGGTGTCCTTTGGGGGACTCGCTATTATGGCACAACATGTGTAAACCTTTCCTTAGCTTTTTTATAACGTTGGTCTTATACACGTTTGTCCTTTTATAAGTAACTTATTTCACTTAGCGCAGTGCCCTCGAAATGAATTTTCTTTTGTGTTTTTCTAAACATCAAAAGTGTTTTCATTTCCCCCCATTGTTGCACATTTTCTTCCCCTCTCCCTTCCCCCTCCCTCAGCCCTCTCTGAAATACAACCCTTGTTCCAGATTGTTGTCATACATATAATGCCTAATTATATGTTCCTTTTGGACAGTTTTTCCCCTTGACTGTTCTAATGCAGTGTTTGTTATCTATACTCTCTTCTCATTCTCTCGCCAATCCCACCCCCATGTCTTTCCTGTTTTATAACAGCAGTGTTATGCAGTATCTGTCATTTTGTGACTATTTCATTCTGCATAAGGTCCTCTAGACAGCCCCCCGCCATGCCTTCTACGAGTTCATTATTTTTCAATGCTGAGTAATATTCCATGGTGTGTATGTATCACAGTTTTTCTATCCACTCATTTGTTGATGGACACTTGGGTTGCTTCCATTTCTTTGCTATTGTGAATAATGGAGCAATAAACATGACTGTGCATACATATGCTTGAGTTGTGGCTCTAGTTTCTTTAGGTTATATTTTCAGTAGTGGAATTGCTGGATCAAATGGTATTTCTATTTGTAAGTTTTTGAGAAAGCACCAGACCACCTTCCATATTGGTTGCACTATTTTACACTCCCCCAGCAGTAAGTGTTCCAATCTCTCTACACCCTCATCAGCATTGCTAGCCTGTTGAACTTGGCTTTTGTTGCTGGAGTGAGATGATACCTCATAGTTGTTTTGATTTGCATCTCTGATAGCTAGGGATTTTGAAAATTTCTTCAAGTATTTATTTGCCATCTGAATGTCTTCTTTGGTAAAGTGTCTATTCACATCCTGTGCTCATTTTGTGATTAAATTGTTTATCTTTTTCTTGTTAAGGTGCTGGAGAATTGTATAAATTTTAGATATGGGTCCCTTATCAGATGCATCATTGCCAAATATTTTTCCCAGTCAGTGGGTTTCTTTTTTATCCTGTTGGAAGGGATTTTTTTGATGTGCATAGAGATTTGATTCTTAGAAGGTCCTATTCATCTATTTTATTATCTCCTGGTTGTAGGTTTTTTTATTATGCTTGGGAGACTATTCATGCTGTGGATTAGGGCTTCTAGAGTTCTTCCTAGCTTTTCTCTGATGAATTTTATAGTCTTTGGTTTTATTTCTAGGTCCATGGTCCACCTTGTATTGATTTTTGTGTATAGTGTGAAGTGTGGATCTTGCTTAAATTTTCTGCCAATAGTTTCCCAATTTTCCCAGCACCAATTGTGAAACAGACTGTCCTTTCCCCACTTAACTGATTCCATCTCCTTTTCAAAGATCAGTTGACCATAGTTGGATGAGCTGATTTCTGGGTTCTCAATTCTATTCTGCTGATCTGTGTGTCTGTCGCTGTATAAGTACTATGCTGTCTTGACCACTATGGCTGAGTTATAAATAAATTTTTGTTATGGTATATTTTATGGATTATTTGCTGTTTTTTAGCATTGCATGGTACTCCATTTTATGAATATACCATAGTTTCTTTATCCAGTTGTTCATTAATGGACATTTGGGTTGTTTCCATCTCTTTTCTATTATAAATAATACTGTAGTAAGCATGGGTATAAAGAGATCAGTTTGTGTGGTAGCTCTTATTTCTTTGAAATATATATTTATATATGAGGTTGCTAGCAGCAGTCCCAAAGGCAAACAGTTCAAATCCACCAGCTGCTCCATGGGAGAAAGATGGACAATCTTCTTCTGTGCAATTAATTGCTTCTGAAAACCCTCTGGAGGGCCAGCTATTGCTTGGTTCCAACATCATTGCACAAAAGACCAACACAACATTTTAATGAAGTGTCAAACTGCTTTCCTTGGTTATATCATTTACATTCCCACCAAGAGTGCATGACAGTTTTAGTCTCTCCATGCCCTTGCCCACATTTATTATTTGATGTCTTATTGAATTTTGCTATTGTTGCTGGAGTAAGATGATATCACACTGGTGTTTTGATTTGTGTCTCCCTCATAACTAATGGCAGGAGAAGGATGGGCAGTCTCTTCCTGTGTGATTAACTGGCTCTGAAAAGCTGCTGGAAGGTCAGCCATGGGTTGGTTCCAGCTCTGCAGTACACCACCACAACAATAACTAATGAGGGAGCCCTGGGACCTGGTGGTAAGAAGCTGTGCTGCAATCCCAAAGGCACATTGTTCAAATCTATGATGTGCTGCATAGGAGAAGGGCGACTAGTCTCCTCCTGTGCAATTAATTGCCTCCAAAAACACACTGGAGGGTCAGCTATGGGTTGGTTCCAACTCGATGGCATATGACAGCAGCAATGAATGATCATATGAAAAACATATTTTAGTATTTATTAGGAAAATGGAGCGGCTATCTTCCCCACATTCCCCACCTGTGGGATGGTAAGCCTTAGGCTCTTTATAAAGCTTCATGGAACTCCTACCAATGTAACCCTCACTGTGGGTTACCTTCATTAAAACACTCTTATTGTTCATGCCTGCTAGGGAAAGGTGTTTTTTTTTTTTCATTGTATTTACTCATGAAAATAATCTAGAAATCCAAAGGTTTTATTCTTGAGTGTTTTGTTTTCTCTTCTGTGCACGTCCTTTGTTGTTGTTGTGTACCATTGAGTCAGAATTGACTTATAGCTGGCCCTCCAGTGGGTTTTCAGAGGAAGTTAATTGCAAAGGAGGAGATTGTCCATCCTTCTCCCTCAGAACAGCTGGTGGATTTGAACCATGTACCTTAAGGATTGCAGTGCAGCTTCTTGCCAGTAGACCACCAGAGATCCCTCTGCTCACTTCTATTAAAGGAAATTGTATTCACTTATAATAATTGAAAGTAAATATGAAATAAGAAAAAAGTATACCTTTAAGAACAGTATCATCTTGGAAATCGTTTAGCAGTGTCTGTCTCCTGCAAGACTGAGTAGTTGCTCGTAGCTCTTGCTTGTGACCTCGTTACAACAGGCTATGTCCTTGAGGTACAAGCTGAGATGGAAGTAAATAAGTGAGGTTAGCTTTTATATGAGGTTCTATCCACTCAGAAAGGCCAGCTGAGTTACAGAAAATGTTTTTTTTCAAAAGTTGATTTAAAAATAAATTTTGTACTTGTTTATTTACAGAGTTCATATACATTGTTTTTCACACTACAGAAAACTTCCTGTGTTTGCTGTTCTCATTCACATCTTGCTCTAAAGTATTGATCTATTTCGAGGAGATCTTACGAGTCTTCACTAAAACCATAAGAGTCTTAATTTTCTCAGTTTCCAACAGAATTCTGGGGTGGAATTATTTGGGACATCACAAAATTGAAGATAAATAGGCCTAGAGTGGAATCTTTATCATACTAAAATAGGAGTAATCTAATGAAGTCACTCCTCAAAAATTATCAGAAGATGCATGTGTATCTACAGAGGAAAAGCCAGCATTTCTACCAGTAAGAATTTCTGGGGAATGATGGAGACCATGGACCAGTGACTGGCAACATTTAAATTCTTGTTATGGGTTCAGTCCTGAGGTGGGAAGTTCATGCGATTTTAAATTGTAGTTATCTCACAGAAGATAGTCTACTAAGACATGTGTCTTTGCCCCATCTTCCACATAGACAGACCTCCTAGTCTGTAATCCTAGGATTGAGGTGGTGCAAACGTAAATAATTATTTTTTTAAAATCTTTACATTGGTTTACATACAGAGTTCATATGGACTATGTTTCACACAATCCTTCATTCACATTGTATTTTATACAGTTATTCTCATTCATTATGTATTACGAAATCCATCACCTTTAAACTTTGCCTTTCATTACCCTGTCTTTTCAGATCCCTGCTAGATCTTTCTCTTTTCCTTTACTCCCCTCCCTCCACCCACCTAATTGTGTGACCCTATGTTTTTCACTCCCTGCCCACCCTCACCCTTCTCTTTCCACCCTTTCCCCCCTTGGGTCTCCATAAATGTTTTCCTAGTTATCCTTCTGTTTATATAATAAAGGTCCTTTGCAGTATTTTGTAAATAATTACTTTTGCTTTCTCTTAGTCCCACTTCAGATGGTGCTGCAGCAGTAATTGTGGCTAGTGAACCATTTGTACAGAAATATGGCCTGCAATCCAAAGCTGTGGAAATTGTGGCACAAGAGATGGTGACTGACTTCCCGAGCTCATTTAAGGAAAACAGCATGATTAAAGTGGTATATCTGAGATTCTGTCCTACTAACTATATTGAAGGTTTGCTGTTAAATATTAATTTGAAAAATAGTCGTCTAGACATTTAACGTTGCAACTAATTTTTAAGAATCTGCCACAAGGCATAACTGATGAGAACATATGCCTCTTACAGTGGAACCTGCACCATTATGTGATATTTTAGCTAATTAGACATGCTTTTTATTTTTATTTTGAATAAGTATGCCTCAATTTTTAACCTTGTGGAGTTAGAGAAAAAACAAATGTATTTTCAGTGACTTTTCTTGATCCTCAGGATTTAAAAAATCTTCACTGAAGATTGAGTTCAAAATGAAGGAAGGTAAAAAGATGAGAGAATTCAGACTTTGAGTTAGTTGAATATTTACACACACACCCACACACACACACACACTCACACTGTACGTAAAAGTATACACATTATATATCATCTAAGAGCTGGATAATGAATAAGAATGATAGAGAAAGAATGAATGCCTTTGAACTTTGGTGTTGGAGAAGAGTGCTGAAAATCCCATGGACTACCAAAAGAACAAACAGATGTGTCTTGGAGAAAGTGCAGCCAGAGTGCTCTTTGGAGACAAAGATGGCAAAGCTTCATCTCACACACTTTGAGTATGTTGCTTGGAGAGTCTATTCCTTAGAGAAGGGCATCCTGCTTGGAAAGGTCAGGGAAACAGAGGAACACCAAACCAGATGGATTGACATAATGACTACAGAAGTAGGCTCAAGTGTGTCAGAAATGATGAGGTTGGCACAGGATTGGACAAAGTTCAGATCTGTTGTTCATAGGATTACCGTGAGTTGTACTTGAGGATATCTAAAAACAGCAACATATAAATATACACATATGTATAAGAATATGTGATAAATTACATTTTACAAAATTATTTTACAAAAATTCTGTGAATTTGAGAATATCCCTGTAGCTTTTCCAAATCACAAAGCTAGGGTATGGTAGAATTTATATTCCGATTTTCTGATTACAATACATTTTGTACTATACAAGTTTTTATTCCTGAAGAAGAACTAAGAAGTATTAAGAGCAAGAATTTTGGAACACAAAGTTTGAGTTCCATATGATCTGCTAAAATAAGATTGCATATTTTGGCATATGAATTCACCTATATTTTTCAGTGTATCTGAATCACAACCACCTGTTGATAAAATTCTTCACCCTATTTACTACAACTATGCATTGATAGCTTAATTTATAAAAATTTATTAAAAAATATAGCTTAAGGAATTCTAAATTATTTTATATATCTTACAGTCTCCTCCCATATGATTAACTGCCTCTGAAAACCTGCTGGAGGGCCAGCTGAGGGTTGGTTCCTACTCTACACTGCACAACAACAACAACAACAATAACTTAAAACTATTTTTACAGTCTGAAATTCAATATATTCTCCCTTCAAACTATTATTTTATTTGGACTTTCTATGTAATATTTGTTGTTATTGTTACCAAAGTGTCAATAATTTCATCTTACTTGGATCTACAGTCAACACCCTTGGTACCTGCAATCAGGATTAAGAGATGTATTGCTTTGAGCAAATTTGCTGTCAAAGACCTCTCCAAAACACTAGAGAGCAATGACGTCAGTTTGTGAGTCATAATCGCCTTGAAAACACCTAACAACAACAACAATAGCATGTAATAGTGGAGTCAAATGTAACTAGAATCAAATGAGATTTTAATGCATGTGGTCACTTCTCAGCTGTTAAGATCATCCATATATATATAGATATTTATTCATCTCTCATAACTTCCTTATTTAAAAAATATTACATTCTGATGTCCTGTATATGATTTTGGTTTCAGGTTGGTTTTGATATGAGTAAAGAAGCTGCCAGAAGGTGCTATGAGAAATCTGGTCTGGGACCAAGTGATATTGATGTGATAGAACTTCATGATTGCTTTTCTGTCAATGAGCTCATTACTTATGAAGCATTGGGACTCTGTCCAGAAGGTAATACCTTTGAAGAGGGAAGGTCAACTTGCTAAATTTCACTTACTCTACTTTTACTGTTCAAAAAAACAGTCCACGCATTTCATTCCCTTCTGTGGCAGCTCTGCTAACCTGCAAAGTAATGAACTCTCTTGGTGGTGGACTTTTTAGAACATGATGTCTTAGACACTGCAAACACTGAGATAATAGTGTATAAATAATTGAAGTCAAGGATACTTATACTGTTAAATGGGAAAGAAAGGATCTAAAATGAAATAGGAAATGCAAAATATTTTAAATTGTGTTTGAGTAAAGATTTGTAGGAAGAAAAAAAGTAGTTAATGATCTGGGGAATTTCTCCCCTTTTCATTTCATAATTTGTTGTTAGTGTTTTCCATTACTACCAGCAATGTATAGAGCTTCATACCCTTCTCATCTTTGCTGACACTTGCTGTGGTCAGTTTTGAACGTTAGTCATTCTAAAGAGGGTATCGAGGACCTCCTTATTCAAATCAGTAGCACTCAGATGCTAACTGAAAGATGGTGGTGATTTGAGGCACCTCAGAAGAAAGGCCTTCCTAAATACCATCGTCAAAGACCCTACGGCGCACAGTTCCACTCCAGCGCACCTGGGGTCACCGTGAATCGGAATTCAAGTTTGTCACAGTTGGTTAAATTGTGCTTATTGGGATCTTCCTGTAGTTTTAATTTGTGTATTGCTGGGGACTAATGATGTTGAATGTCCTTTCATATGCTTATTGGTCATCCCTTCGATGGTCACCAGAGCTGGTGGTCATTCACCAGAACTTGTTGGAGCTCTAGTGGCCTAGTGAGTAGGGGTTGTCTTGCTAACCTAAAGGCAGGTAGTTTGAGTCCCCAGGCTGTCCTCAGAGAAAGATAGGCATTTTTCTCCTGTGTGATACACAGTCTTGAAAATCACCTGGAGTGTTGGTTCTGACTCCACAGCAATGAGTCAGTGAGGAAGCAAGTGACTGGTCATGTTTGTTTGGTGAAATATCTCTCAGGTGGCTTCTCATTTTATTACTAGGCTGTCTTCTCTATTGTCTTACAAGGTTTTGTTTGTGCTTTCTTTTTACATTATAGATGTAAGTCCTTTGTCTGCTATCTATGTGTTGTGAATAATGTTTTCCCAGTTTGTTTTATCTTTTTGTTTTGTTGATAGTATTTCTTGAAGAATGAAAATTTTAAATTTTAGTCAGGTATAATTTATCAATTTTTTCTTTTATGGTTCATGTTATTTGTATTCTGAGAAATCTTTGCCTCTCCCAGGGTCCAAAAGGATCCTCTATTTTCATTCTGGAAGTTTTATGGATTTAGATTTAACATTTAAGTATTATGTGCTATTTTGAGTCAGTTCTTATGCATGATGTAAGGTAAAGGTTGAGTTTGATTTCCCACTCCCTCAACAGAACTATATAGACTATTCCAGACTAAAGCTGTATCTAAGATTGGGTTTGAGTCAGAATGTCTGAACCACAATTTTTAATCTGCAATCTAAGTTTTAAGCCAAGATAGAAATTTTAGCGATCTAAAATTCTGTTATTAGTGTATTAGATTTTGCAAATGGAGAAATGTTTCCATATTTGAAGACCCTGTAGTACTAGTTAGTTAAGAACACACATTCTGGAGACAGGCTGCCCGAACATCAATCCTAGATTCCCTGTTGTGACTTTGAAGTGGTTACTTCACATCTCAATTCTGGTTCTCGTCTGTAAAATTGAATTGGTAATATCTACTTTACAGGGTTGTGGATTAAATGATATAAATACATCTGAGAACAAGTCTTGACACAGAGTACTGAAAAATGATAAGCCACCTCTGAGAGCAGTACCACTACCCTTATCATTCTCTTCAGGGCTTCTACCTCTTTATCAGAAATATTATTGGAGAGAATATTTTAAATACTACATGCATCCTTATTTGCTTCTACACCATCTAGAAGAACGGCTAGAGACTTCACAGAATTAAAAGGATTGTTGAAGCCTCTAAATATGTGTTGTTTTTTTAAAAAAAGCTTACTGTTAGAAACAACTGTTTTTAGCCAGCTTGGCTTAATATTAAGTGCTAATTTTTAAAGTGTTTATCTTTCTATGTATTAAAAATATGTGTACAATATAAGCAGCATATTTGAAAAGAGGAAAATGAGTAAGTTATGGAGAAGTATTATTTTTAAATGAATATCATTGTTTTAGATAAATGTTTGTATTAAATTTTTACTTTACCCCTAGTTTTCTGAATTCATTGTATTTGTAGAAATCTAATAGGAGGTTTTTGGTTGTTTTTTTTTTTGTGTGTGTGTGTCTTTTTTTAATTATTAAATTTTATTAATTTTAATGGACATTTACAGAGATTTTGGGTTTTCATTCATTCATTGTTGCACTATTTTCTCTACCCTCCTCCCCAGTTCATTCTTCCCCCTCCTTGAAAGTCTGTTTTAATTGTCCAGTTGCCACAGTGCTTGTCAAAGCCAGTTCTGATTAATCTCCTTTGTCAGTGTGTCCTTTGCCATTCCCTATCACTCCTCCCTGAGAGAGACTTCCCCCTGATTCATAAGGAAAAGGGGATAGCATATTCTCTTAGCTACTTCCTGATAAAAAGGGACGCTGTAGGTTTCAGGGTGAAGATCTTCTCTCACTGCTCTAAAGGGCCCCTTTGGCAATAGGAAACACATAGACTATTATGGAGATTGATTTTGGAATTTAGATGCAGGAGGTTTTTTTTTCTTTTAATTTTCATTTAATTTTATTTTTTATTGTACTATTTTTATGTGTACCATCAAATCAGATCTGACTGGTACAGGAGGAGATTGCCTCCTCCTTCTCCAGCAGAGCATCTGGTAGATTTGAACCATGTACCTGTGGGATTGCAGTGCAGCGTCTTGCCACTAGGCCACCAGAGTTCCCTGATGCAGGAGTTTTTAACAAGATGAGAAACTTTGAAAATATGAGGCTTCATTCATCTCGTAAATTTTAGAAGTTGTTGTTAGGTGCCATCAAGTTATCTCCAGCTTATAGCGAGCCTGTATACAACAGAAGAAAATTCTGCTCTTTCCTGTGCCAACTTCACAGTCCTTGCTGTGCTTAAGCCTATTGCTGTAGTCCCTGGGCCACTTCATCTCACTGAAGGTCCTTCTCTCCTTCACGATTCTCTTTTTTCTTAACCTAATGTCTTTTACCCTTCCTGATAACATATGCCTCCTGATAAGATGCCCAAAACATGTAAGACAAAGTCTCACCATGGGTACCATGGAACATTCTGGCTGTACTTCTTCCAAGATTAGTCTGTTCTCTTGGTAGTTCGTGATCTATCCAGTACTTTTTTTTTTCAAGGTAACTACAGGGTTTGTGTTTTTTTTTTAACCTATTTTTGGTGAAAGAAGATATTTTCCTGAAAAATGACCCTTCAGCCATGGTAAGGCAGGATGTTAGCAAATCAGGCTTCTAGAACTCAGACTGTCCTGGACAAATCATTAACCCAGTGCATTAGAGTTTATTTCAAAACAAACAAAGCTTTGTCCAAAACATGTATCTTGGGTGTCTGACGTAAACTGGCTAAGAAGTAAGTCATAGTTGGTGAACGAAGACCTAGGTTGGGTCTTCATTCCGTGTTATCTATATGGATAGACAAACAACATAGATTTTTCTAATGTTTCTCTCTGGAAGCTCATCTGATTCTCTTCTTAATTCATGCCATGGTGCCAAACCTGATTCACAACAATCCTGGAGGGCAGAGAAGACCTGCCTATAGAGTTTCAAAGCTGTCAATCTTTACGGAAGCAAATTGTCTCATATTTCTCCCTTGGGTCATTTGTGAGTTTAATTCACTGACTCTTTGGCTAGAAGCCCAATTTCTTTTTTTATTTTCTCA